AGCATCAAAAGGTGAATTCCATTCATTTTTTCTAGTTCAGTCCCACCCCATCCCTCTAAATAGTTAAACCAAAATATATAAAGGAGATGGCCATCAAGAGACCAACATCTGGATTAGATGTTCAAATTCAATAAATTCAAGCAGAGACCTGCTGCCATCTGGCTTATCAAGTTAGACTTTCTCAGGTTGTTATAAACAAGATTTTCAGCAATACTAGATTCCCTGTTTCACTAATTTGTAATCAAATAAATCAATTAAAATCTATCCACGATTCATGGGAACAAAGATCTGAAACAAATGATAGTTATACCTGGAGAAAACATTATACATTGCAATATTATTACATCTTAAGCAGCATCATAAGAAACGAGGTGCAAGGGTTAGTCACATTGTACTGCAGAATGGTATTTGATATCGCTTTATTTATGATAATCAACGGCTTCTGACATTTAATAATGTCTCCTGAGGTTGATTTACAATCTATTGTGATAGCAATCAAGCCTGCTACTGTTTTATGGAATTTATTATTTTTCGTTGAAATTGCATTATTTTTATTCCCTGAATTGGCATACATGTTGGTTGGCTTCTTAGAATGATAACAAGGTTGGTGTGCTATTGTGCTCCTTCATGATATTAATCTACTTTTGAGTTAATGGGCTTCTTCATGATGGTACATCTACTTTTGTGTTAATGAGCTTCTTCATGATATTACACCTACTATTATGTTAATGGCCTTCTTCATGATATAACTTATACTATTGCATTGATGGCCTTCTTCATGATATTATACCTACTATTATGTTAATGGCCTTCTTCATGATATAACTTATACTATTGCGTTGATGGTCTTCTTCATGATATTACATATACTATTGTGTTAATGGCCTTCTTCATGATATTACATATACTATTGTGTTAATGGCCTTCTTCATGATATTACACCTACTATTATGTTAATGGCCTTCTTCATGATATAACTTATACTTTTGCATTGATGGCCTTCTTCATGATATTATACCTACTATTATGTTAATGGCCTTCTTCATGATATAACTTATACTATTGCGTTGATGGCCTTCTTCATGATATTACATATACTATTGTGTTAATGGCTTTCTTCATGATATTACATATACTATTGTGTTAATGGGCTTCTTCATGATATTATACCTACTATTATGTTAATGGCCTTCTTCATGATATAACTTATACTATTGCATTGATGGCCTTCTTCATGATATTACATATACTATTGTGTTAATGGCCTTCTTCATGATATTATACCTACTATTGTGTTAATGGGCTTCTTCATGATATTACATATACTATTGTGTTAATGGGCTTCTTCATGATATTATACCTACTATTGTGTTAATGGGCTTCTTCATGATATTACATATACTTTTGTGTTAATAGGCTTCTTCATAATATTACATTTACTTTTGTCTTGATGGGTTTCCTCATGATATTGCATCTACTATTGTCTTAATGAACTTGTTCATGGGCTTCTTCATGGTATTACACCTACTGTTATGCTTATTCATGATATTACAATATATACTTTTGTTCTCCCTCATGATATTACATATATCATTATGCTTCTTCATGATGTGGCAGCTATATATAAAAATGATATGCCATGATACAGCACATGTATATATCCTTCATATGCCATGGCATAACATGTATTCCATTAGAAATAAATTGCTTATAGCATTAATGCCAGCACTTATCTTTGAGATCATAGCATATCTTGGAAACTGGAGATATGTGAACATAATAGAGTAGTGTATGTAAAATAACTTGGTCAACAGCCTGCCAATGTATATTGATCCAAGATTCTTTAACCTTGCACTTTATTACCCTGATTACTAAGTGACTGGCCACATGGCCCTCTGACTGTTGCAGAGGATCTTGCAGGTTTGATGGTCATACAATCTTAATGATTCTCGAACATAGTTTTCAGAGCATTTTTTAGACTTATAATGTAAAACTAAAAGTGGCTCCTTTTAGGTAGATATAAACATTAACGGTATATATAGTTGGACAAGAATTTAAAGAGTCAAGGTGGGGTTCAGCTCTTGAGCAGGGTAAATTGTTATCTATGGCCCAGGAGAGTAATTTTTTATATTGGGGAGGTGTATATCTTCAACATTTATAGGTAGCTATTATGTTGGTTCAACATAGATTTTAAACTGAGGCTAATTTGAATAAGAGAGGTCAATTTGAATACTTGAGGCTAATTTGAATAGTAAAGGCTAATTTGAAAAGGAGAGGTTAATTTGAATAGTTGAGGCTAATTTGGATAGTTGAGGTTATTTGAATAGTTGAGGCTAATTTGAATAGTTGAGGTTAATTTGAATAGTTGAGGCTAACTTGAAAAGGAGAGGTTAATTTGAATAGTCGAGGCTAATTTAAAAAGGAGAGGTTAATTTGAATAGTAGAGGCTAATTTGAAAAGGAGAGGTTAATTTGAATAGTTGAGGCTAATTTGAATAGGAGAGGTTTATTTGAATTGCTGAGGTTATTTGGATAGGAGAGGTTTATTTGAATTGCTGAGGTTATTTAATTAGGTGAGGCAAAGTTAAGATGAATGAGATTTGATATGACTATAGGACAACTACTTTTACTACTTTTACACAGAATGATAGTTAAAAAGGAATCTGATTTTTTTCCGTAAAATTTTTGTGAAGCAGTTACCTCTCCTGCTTTATGCTTTGTTATGCTCATGCATATACTGTAGCGTAGCCAGGATGAGGCAGACGAGGTGCTTGCCTCGTCACTCTTTTATTATCCTATGAGAAATATTCCTCTATCAAAGAAGTTGTAAATTAATTAAAAAACTTTCATGGATTTTTGAAGCTATATGATTGAAATGTTTCTCACAAGACTATTTGGAGTCATATGTAAGCAGCGCAGCCAGGATGGGGCAGATGAGGCATTGCTTTTGAACAGATTTGCAAATATTTTTCACTTTGTCGCTTTTTCTTCCTGGCTATGTCACTGATTTATATACTTTAATGTAGTCTCACAGGAAGCCTCTGTCTCTTTCCATTATATATTTCCATACCTACACATGGTGTATATATTACTTAGAAGGGTTAGACTATGCAGGGACTATTATACAGAATAGATCAGGTTGATTCTAGGTTAAGATGTTTTCCATGTTAGAATATAGAACGCTCCTGACTTCATATTAACAGTGTGTAATATTTGTTCTCGGAATTGCTTTTGATGTCATATTTTTTCTCGGAATTGCTTTTGATGTAGTTTGAATTAAAGTGCATTGATTCTACGGTATTGGATTCTGAATACAGCCGTATTCATTCATTATGAATATCAACAGATGTAATGTGGGGACTTAGAATTGTTCTAAATGATGTTAGTACAGGGATAGAAAAATAGATGGTGTGCTAGAGAAAGATAACATGTATTTTCCATCAAGTCATGCAGTAGTGTTTGATAATCCATTTGCATATATCATGTCTGCCTGATAGATCAATAGGTGCATAGGTTTAACATGAACAACAATTGAAATTCAAGGTCTATCACCTAGCCAGGTCACATAGATAATATCAAATGACATTATATTGCATACTTAAAGTAAAATTAATTTTCAAACAGCTGATCAACATTTTTCTATTATATTTAATGAATACATGTACAGTAAAACCTGTTTTCATGAACAGCTTTCTTGTCATTTCAGCTAGCTCTAAATCAAGATAATTCCTCTTGTTAAAATTATATTAATTTGATATTTACCAGTTTTGTTTAGTTAAGATAAGTATATATTTTCATAATGCACATGTTTACTTACACATGCATAGAACATATGGTATGTGCTTTATATACTGACTGCTTTAGATTATATTAAAATGTGTTTAATCCCATTAATGCCACACAAGTTAATGGGATATAATTAATTGGGACTGAGAAAAAGAGTTCACGTTGAGGGGTATTTGAATAAGAAAGGTATTCAGTTAGATAGGTTTTACTGTACTTATATTATATTGAGATGTACCTATAACATTTGCATATTTCATGTGGTCAATAATTCATCAGAGATCATGTGTGAAATGTTATTATTATAGGCTAACAGATTGGTTTTTACATAGCTTGGTCAGACTGATGATAAATGTGCTGCTGACGCTTATGGTATATTGCTTGATGCTTGCATAAAGCCAAGTCCTTGCCAAATTAATCTCAATTGTGCGCAGCTATGGGATAGGCTTCAAAAGTGACAACTTGTCTAATTCAAAATTATTCTAGTTTCACCATTGACCTTGCACTCCAAAAAATGAAATTTGACAAAGTTAATATTTTTTTCAGAAAAATATGAAAGTTTGTGTTTCGTTTTCTGTGTTTAGGATTTTCTCATATATAGGAGTTTACCCTGAAGCCTAGAACTATTAATAATTCTCAGTTACTCTGATTAAGATGAGATCTGACCATAAAATAAGCCATTTATGGCTTTTCATGGGATTTAAATATGATAAAAACCATTTGCTACCTATAAAGGTATACAATTCTGTGACATCATTTTTAATTTAGTAGTTTAATATTGAACGTAACCAGATACAGTTAAGGTTAGATTAGAGGGTTACCCTTTTTTCAGAGTATGGATGTAGACCAAACAATTAAGATTTCTGGTAGTTTGTATAAATTGCTTTTTTACTCATCATTGTATTTTACCTCGCCAGTACAAACGATATAAGAAATTTGTTAGATCAAAATCTCAAACTTTTATCTGCACCTCATGCCTTGAGATTAATGAATGCTTTTTAATGAATTTGAAAGTAAATTATGAAAGGCCTTTAGATTTGATTTATTTTTGACATCAAGCATTATATGTATAAAAATGTCTAGCTACCATAAAAACAGTTGGACATTCAATCTTCTACTTTTTACTTTAAAAAATCCTTTTTCCATTTTAAATCTTTTCAAAGTTTGTTTTTTATATATTCAAGCATGCAAATTATACAGAACTATTTGATATCAAAAGGATTTTTAAAATTGTATATTTCTTTTAACAGTGTATATTGTGAAGCGGAATGCAAAGTAACTTCAGTATATATTAGCTCCTTAATATAACACCTGCTTTTAAAGATTTTATATAAATCTTAAGTGATAAGATCATCAAAGAATAGGATAAAGAGTTAAATGTTAAGATGAAGAATCTAGTAGAAGGGCTGAAGAAGAAAGGTAATCATAAAGAGCAGACTGTTGGAACGAGGATCATTGAATTCCAGTATGATGACGACTCCCATCACGATCATAGTAGCCCTAGCATGAAATTAGAAAGACAGAAAAATGTTACGGTGGAGTTTGGGGTTAAAGAAGAGAATACACCTTTGGGGAACGAGGGCAGTCTTGATTTGGATACTGTTAAACAAATTCATAAGGCCAGAGAGATGTTAACTTCAACAAGCAGTGACGCAACATTTGAACATTATATCCCGCGTGTCTCCAGTTTGGTTATAAGTAGACAAGTGAGTGGTAGTATAGTTATTATGTCACAACCAAGAAGTGCTTGCATATTGAGAATCCATTGCCTGTAACCAGTTGTTACACTTTTGTAACCATTTGCAATAACTTTCCAGGCTGTGACATGTTGTCATGTTAAGATTTTGTAATTTGTATCATTATGTGATATCATCTCCTAAAGTAAACACTCCCACCTTATTTTGGATGCCTATTAATTCTCATTTTGCGAGCATCTTTTGTTATAAAGGCAAATTTTGTTACTATATCATTGAAATCTTCAATATACAACTTATTTTAGATATTATCATGGATTTATAGTTTTCCAGCAGTTCAGATATGATTATAATTATGTCAGATAATATAGTGTTCAGTTATCATTTCAAGTCTGGTATTAACTCCATCTGGACTAATTCAGGCAGATGAGTCCCAAATAAACAAACACTATCTTCTTATCATTTCCGGTTTGGATTAATTTTTCAAAGTATATTGCAGTGCAACTGCTAGATTCTCTTACCCAGGTGAATTTTGCCAATATGCTTGCATTGGTACCAAAATGCAGGTAAATATATTGAAAATGTATTGAGCTGGCAGGTTAATCATTAAGTATTATGCTTCAATCCTAACTTGAATACATGCTCTACTTCCATCAAGATTAGTCTAGTTATTTTTTGTTTGATCGACCTTCTTCAATTTTACTTTCTCCAATTTAAGAAAAGAATACAAGTAGAATAAGCCTCAATCTTAATTGACAAGTTCCGTAATTATCATTTTCTTATGAATTCATTTGAAAGAAAGTTATAGGTAATAAGGTACATTTTGTAATGTTTATTTAGATCAGTATTATTTAGATTAAAATCTATAAATTGATAATTATGAGAAAATTGATAAGAATGAGAAGATGTTTAGTATGGTAGTCACGGTAACGGTACTTCTGCAGGGATATAAGAGAAGGAATACCTCTGAAGCCTCCACTCCGAAACAACATAGAAAGTGCCAAAAATAACCTCAAGATCTAGAGTCAGCTAAAGTATATAGCAGGTTTGCTATTGCTAACTTTCTACAGTGCAATCTTCAACATATGTAATTTTAACAAGCACCACGGTATCTGAATTTGCTTCATTGGTAGCCATTTTGGCTACACGGGCCACTGGATAGGCAGAATGTTCGCGGACATTGTCGCACAGAAGGTCGGCTCTAGTCAAACACTTCTGAAGCCTGTGGATAAGAAACCATTGTTGTCTATAGGGGCTAAGAAATCTGGCCACAAATATTCTGCAAGCACTGTAAGTAAAAAATACAGGGATGGTTTGAGGGTGTTTAAGGCATTTTCTTTAAATTTTGTTTTTATAGACTTTCATGTCACCTATGTTAAGTATGTACATTATTAGGAAATGTCATAAGTCACTAACATTTGATAATTCAGGAAAAGAAATAACTTTCAACCATTTAAAAAAGAAAAAGTTAGAGAATAATTATTACATCAAGGATTTCTTCAGTAGTTGTAAAGCATGCTTGAAGGGAACACTTTGTCATTCACATATAGAAGTGTTCAATATCTGAAGCTTCTTATGATATGGGAAGTATGGTACTAGAAACATCAAATAATGATAGGGCAGGAAAGAGTTGTCATAATTTGAAGTGTTTATTTTTAGAGGTTTTATTTTATATTATGTACTGTACATGTACTTTTTAAAGATATTTTGAAATAATATAGCCTTCATGTTTATTTGGTTTGGAATGTAAGAAATGGTTCCATTGAATCTGCAATGTCACTTTCCCTAGAAACCATGTTAGCAACCATGAATTTGAATTTAGGAAAAGGGTTTTATTTAGGTATTTGTTCTTTGTTATTATTTAATTATTGCCACCCCTTATAAGCCACCCCTATAATAGACACTAGATGTTAATATGATCTTCTTGATGGTATGTGTTTTTGTTTTTAATAACAGATTATGTTTCATTTTGATAACAAATATTTTGCAATCTATTTGTTATGTATTTCTCTAGCACTAGAATGAAGACCAGATAAGTCTGGAATTAACTAATGCCTGCTAGATATCTTAAATAACCCCTGGCAAATAATATTATCTGGAAAATATTTTTATTAATTAATCTGTCTATTTTACATTTAGTTCCTTTGATATGAAAAAGCAGAAGAGATAGATATCAACAAAACCCTATAAACAATATAATCCATACAGTACACGAGTACAGTTATATAATATTCTTCAAGATTCATATTGTATATTTGAACATGACTGTATTCGCGCCTTCTATAAACTGTGAACAAAGTCAACATTTCACCTGGGGCATATTCGCAACCAATACCCCTGGTAATACGAGTAATATGTGACGTCATAATGGGAGACCGTAGTAATGGCGGACCATAAAGAATATTCGTAACATTTTGGTGAGTTTTCATGTTCGAATCGTAATATAGACCTCAGAGCAGGTGTAATATCGTCGAATACACCCCTTAGGGCTAGGCACAAAAGCTTTCAAACCCCTCACTCCCTTCGGTCGTTCGGGGGAACAGAAAACGTTTGTGCCTAGTCCTGCGGGGTGTATTCGACGATATTACCCCAGCTCTTCTGTCTATATTTCTTCATTACACAATCAATTAACTATCTAATGTGAAAAAAAGTAAAGCCAAGAAGCCCAATGTTTTTTATTTTAGCAGGAGCAGGGTACAATATTGAAAGCTACTTAGGGGCCTTGTAGCTGGTACTTTTGATCTTGGATATTTATCAAAAAAAATTATGGCAACTGGTTGAGAGTTCAACTCTGATGGGAATCTTTTGATTGAGGCTTTGGCTTCTGATTGAGGCTTTCGATTATATCCTGGTTTTGTTATAAAACAACAACACTGAACAAAGTACAACATTCAAGGGTAACATTTCATGAAAATATGAACATTTGGTAAGGTGAGCAAAACCTAAAATAACTGGCTATATTAGCCAACTGTACCTGTTTCTGTCCATCATTCTGACGAAAACATCTACCTGCTTTTTACCTGCTATTTAGGCCTGTATAGGTTAATTGGAGAAACTTGTCTCTAAAAAGGACCAGGCTTATTATTTAGGTTTTATTGTAAAATTTTAAAAATATGTATCACCAGAGAAACCATTGTAAATCTGAATAAGCAAATGAAGGTGCATAATAAGATTTTAGAACAGCATCATACAGGCATTTTTAAACAAACATTTTATTTATTCTGGCCTTAAATATTTAACTTGCATTTTTAAGGAATTAATTGCATGCACTAAAAGAAAGAGTGAGAGAAGAGTACTAATAGCAACAGACTAGTGTGCCTCGGAGGATTGGCAAGAAATTGAATCCCAATGAAAGCCAAAAGTTAGAATCTCCATCTATTTAGAATTAGGGGTGTGAACATATTGTTTTGAAAGTTTGTCTTCCCTGATAACATATATAGATCTCTGTATTATATGTAGGTTCTTCATGTGACTATATTAGCTCATAGTTATCTACCTAGGTTAAAATCAAAAGATAGTTCACTTCATTTCATGACACCCTATATAAGGCAAATTTTATCAAAAGTTAGTTTCTAAGAATGTTACTTAATGCTTTTATAGCAAAAGCGAATGCCACTTTTTAGAAAAAGAAAAAAAGCTTGAATTATAGAATTAACCTATTCAGATGAAAACGTTTTGCCAAGGTTCAACATAAGAGCACATTACAGGTAAGTGAAGATGTGGCTATCTGTATCTCTATATCTCTAGATTCCTCATATACCAGTCAGTAAGTATAGGTAAGCTTATAATCGGTTTGAGCAGGAAATGATATGGTCACCCATGTATAAAACTTTCACAGCCTACATCATTTCATATATTTCTTCCCTAGATTATGGCTGTTTTTTCTTGCATTATGATGGCTGCCAGTCAATGTTATCCATGGCTATATATTCTCTTTTTCTGAACTGCTTTTTATGAAATCAGGATGAGTTCCTTGACATTTTCCCGATGGTTGGTTTTATGTAAGATGGAGGTAATAATATATGAGAATCTTTGGTAGCAGGTGTTAGTACAAAAAGGTCAACTTGACATGGTGTTATCTAGAAAATTAGACTTTTTAAACTGCTGTAGTTTTCATATTGAGTGTTTGAAAAATGATCATAATCCCCTCCCCCTCCCACATACCTGCAAAAATGATAATTGTAATTATAGTGTTCTGCAAAGGATTTTTTGATTTGAATGAAATGTAGAATTCTCATTTCTCCTATTTTGACCAAGAAATGCCCCCAAATCTGCTCAAAATATCCTAAGTTATCCAACTGGGTATAAGCTCATTCTCATCTGGGTACAGATTGATTTTAACTGCATGCAAATTGATTTTCAACTTGGTGCAAATTGATTTTCAACTTGGTGCAGAGTGGTGAATTTCAATGTAGTGTTGCACTCAGTTGTCTCAATCTTGAAATACTACTTATAAATATTGCACTAAACCATATATCATATTATAAGGTACCTATCCATGCAGAGATTATTGCTTTTTATGAAGGTTATCATGATTTTAATTATCCTCCAACATTTGTCCAGAAATAAGGTGTTAAGGTGAATAATTGACAAAATCGATGAACAAATCAATTTGGAATCCTTATTCACTATCTGTTTGAAGCATTTGCACCACTGGGTTTAACACTTCTACCTGTTTGTGAACATTTGATTGCACCTCTTATTTATAAAAAAATGTTTGAAATAGAGATTTTGAGCTATCTTCGGTATAGTAAAACCTGTTTAATCTGCACACAACTGGGACTGGTAAGATATGTTGGAATTCACAGGTGTTCATATTCAAGGAACTTTAACATGGTATGGTAGATTTAAAATGGAAGCATTTCATACTGGGAGGTGTTCAAATTAGAAAGCTGTTCGGATATACAGGTTTCACTATATTTCATACTTCAAAAGAAAATTATTATATAGATGTTGGAAGGTTTAGCTGATTTAATAGATGAAAATTGAAAAAGTTGTTTGGCCTTGATCAAACATGTCATACTTACAAGATAAAATGTTCAAAATGAGGATAGGGCTGACGTTTATGGAGCATTTTAAGGTCATAGGCTATTTTACATGTAATTGCTCTCTTTATATATTATGTAATTATAATATTATGTAAAGATGACATATAGTCTCTTAACAAATGAGTGAAATCAGCTGTCTCACGATCTACTTC